ACAAGGATGGATCAATCTATTTCAGTGATGGTGGTAATAATCGTATTCGTAAAATTTTGACAAATGGAACAATTATAACAGTAGCTGGTACTGGTGAAACTTGTAGCAATTCATCTAGTAGTTGTGGAGATGGCGGTTTAGCAACAATGGCTAAATTGAATCTTCCGAATGGTCTTTTTGTGACAGATGGAGGTGACATTTATTTCACAGACACCTTAAACCACAAAATTAGACTTGTAACAGCTTCCACTGGTAAAATCTCAACAATTGCTGGAAATGGTGTTCGAGCAACTACTGAATCCTTGAGTAAAGATGGTGGATTACCAACAAGTGCATCTTTAAATACTCCAAAGGGATTAACGGTTGCTGAGGATGGAACCATCATTTTCACAGATTCTGGATCAAACTATATTAGATATGTTTCTTCTGATGGAAAAACTATTAACATACTTTCTGGAAAATTTTCAACCATTGGAATGCATATTGCACAAGACCAGAGTGAATTGAGTGACGCCAAGTTTGATGATCCTGCAGGATTGTTCTTGTCAGGCAATGAGTTATTGATAGCAGATGCTAAAAATGGATTGATTAGATCTATTAAGGCAACATGTCCCACAGGATATGGTGGATTTACTTGTAAACCTATCTGCTATGATATAATGGCTACCAATACGAGTGTATGTTCGAGAAATGGTAAATGCATTGACTATAACACTTGTAAATGTGATAGCAACCATTTTGGTGCTTACTGTGAAAATACATATTGTAGTGGTGTTGCTTCCAATTCTTCTAATGTTTGTTCAAGACATGGAAGATGTGTAGAATATAACACTTGTGTTTGTGCTCCTGGTAGTTCAGGTAGTAATTGTGAGGTTTTAGAATGTTTTGGACTTCAAAATACGTATTCCCAAGTTTGCAGCTCACACGGTGCATGTGTAGAAACTGATACATGTGTTTGTGATTCTCAATATTATGGACATAATTGTAATGTAACAACTTGTGGCTCTATACTTTCAAATTCATCAACTGTCTGTAATGCCAAAGGACCTTGTACCTCGTATGAAACATGTAAATGTAAATCCAATTACTTTGGAAAGTATTGCGAAAATACAATCTGCTTTGGAATTCCTCAAATTCCTCACAAGTTTGTTCTTCACATGGTATTTGTATTGATTATAATACTTGTCAATGTCAAA